TGCTCCGTGAGCCCACTGTTGACTTGGCCCACCCTACGCCTGGCAGCCTGGGTAGGGTGGAAGGGGGCAGAGAGAAGCTGCTAAGGTGGCCCACTGGTCCCCTTGTGTGCTCTGCTGCTGCCTTCCCTCCATGAGTTCCTTGTCCTCCATGCTGCCCCTCTGCCGTGAGCCCTGCCTTGGAGCCAGCCGGCTATGCACCGAGACGCCTGTGAACCGTCACCCAAACACTGCTTCCTTTAACTGCGGCTGCCAGGTATTTTGTCTCAGCCAGACAAAAGTAACCAAGAAATTAGCCGAGACGAACTTTTCAGTGCTGATACCAGGAATGTGTGAATTGGTGACAACTCATTAAGTTATTCCTACCAGATTTCTAGAATCCTTTTGTTTTTTTAAGAGTAGTAAGAATTCGCTGAGTAAAAGAAAGCTTTTAAGAGGGAAGAAGGGGGCCAAGAAAGTGGGTTGCCCGATGACCCCACTTCTCAAGGGTATTTATTGAGCACAGCCACGAGGTGAGGTGGGTTTAAGGTGGGAAGGAGCTATAATTAATCAATAAGATTACAAGTATACTTGCTTATATTGATTTGATTTTAGCACAAGGTGCAAGATATGGGTCCAGATTCAATGTTCTGCATGTGGATAGCCAGTTTTCCCAGCACCATTTGCCAAAGAACTGACTGTCTTCTAGCTTACATTTTTGGTCCTTTATCAGAGATCAGATAGCTGAATGTTCCTGGGGTTGTTCCTGCATCCTTGGTCTGGTGCATTGATCCATATCTTGTTTTTGTGCCAGTACCGTGCTGTTTTCATTACTGTAGCTTTATCCTGTAACTTGAAATCTAGGATGGTGATGCCTCCTGCCTTGCTTTTATTGCCCAGGATTGCTTTTGCTCTTCTGCATCTCTTCTGGTTCCATAGGAATTTTAGGATTGTTTAGCAAAGCAATAGCTTGTGTGAAGAAACAAATAAAATTTTTTAATTAAAAAAAGTAAGTTTCTGCTGGGGATACATCTCAGCGGCATAAGCGCTTGACTGGCAACCCTGAGGTCATGAGTTCGATTCCTGGTACCAGAAAAAAAAAGTTTCTGAGACAAGCATGGTGGCGCACACCTGTAATCCCAGTAGTCGGGAGGCTGAGGCAAGAGAATCATTACGAGTTCAAGACCAGCCTGGGCTACAAAGTGAGCTCAAGACCAGCCTGAACTGCATAGCGAGACCCTGTTTCCCATCCAAGCACTAACCAGGCCCGACCCGGCTTAGCTCCAAGATCAGGCGAGATCGGGCTTGTTCAAGGTGGTATGGCTGTAGACAAGAGACTCTGTCTCAAAAAGATTAAAAAAAAAAAAAAAAAGTTTCTGAGGCAAGAGGATGGCTGTGAGTTCAAGCCATCCTGGACTGTATAGTAAAACCCTGTCTCAAAAAGACAATACTAATACTAATACTAATACTAATAATAAAAGTTTCAAGTACTGTATTGAGCAGGGGGCATCTTTGTCTTTTCCTGATTTTAGAGGAAGACCTTTCAGTTGATGTTGGTAATAGGTTTGTTGTAAATGTCTTTCATCAGATTGAGATAAGGTCCTACTATACTTATTTTTTCTTTCTTGTTTTTTTTTTAGTTTTTTGAGATAGTCTTCCTGTGTAGTTCAAGCTGGCCTTGAACTCATGACTATCCTTCTGCCTCACCCTCCTGGGATTATCAGCTTACGCCACTACACCTGGCTTTCTGTACCTATTTTCTTCATGAATGAATGCTGGATTTTGTCAAAGGCTTTTTCTGCATCTTTTAAGATGATCATATGGATTTTGACCTTTGATGTGGTGTACTACTTTTATTGATCTGCTTTTTATTCTTTTGAGACATGGTCTTGCTATGTAGTTCAGGTTGGCCTTGAACTTACTCACTATGTATCCCAGCTGGCTTTGAACTCAGTGATCCTCCTGCCTCAGCTTCCCCAGTGCTGGGATTACAGGCGTGCGCTACCATTCCCGGCAATATATGATCTTTTTGATTTGTTGCATTCTGTTTGACAGTGTCTTGGTGAGGATTTTTGTGTAGTTCTCCTTCTTAGTTGAATCCTTGTCCAGTTTTGGTATCAGAGTAACAGTCCCTGAATGAGTTTGGCAGTAGTCTTTCCCTTCCAATTTCATTAAAGACTTTGAGGAGTATTGCCCTTAGATCTTCCTGGAAGTTTTTTTAGAATTCATTTGTGACTCCATTGGGTATTGAATATTTGTATCGGGTAGAGTTTTTATTATTGCCTCAATTCCTTGGATTAGTCAGGGTATTTATGTCTTCTTAGGTCAGTTTTGGTAATTATATGTATCTAGGAATCTACCCATTTCTTCTAGATTCTCCAGTTTACTGGGGTACAGGTTTTTAAAGTAGTTGCTAATAATCTGTATTTTGGTAGCATCCATTGTGATTTCACCTTTTTTGTTTCTAAGTGCATTGATACAGGTCTTACCTTTCCTTTTTCTGGTTAGATTGGGTAAGGATTTATCTATTTTGTTTATTCTATAGTCTTTGTATTTTCTTTAGTCTCAATTTCATTAATTTCTCCTTCGATCTTTATATAATTTTCTTCATTGTACTAGCTTTAGAGTTGGCTTATTATTATATTTTTAGACATTGAGGTCCATCATTAGATTATTTGTCTGGGCTTGCTCTCTTTCTTTCTTTTTTTTTTTTTTTTTTTTTTTTTTTGTCTTTTTGAGACAGGGTCTCACTATGCAGTTCAGGCTGGCCTTGAGCTCACTTTGTAGCCCAGGCTGGCCTCAAACTCAAAACAATCCTCCTGCCTCAGCCTCTGGAGTGCTGGGATTACAGGTGTGCGCCACCATGCCCTGCTTGCTCTCTTTCTGATATGGGCATTCAAGGTATGAACTTCCTTCTTAGGACTGCCTTCATTGATCCCATAGATTCTGGTATGATGTACTGACATCGTTTGATTCTAAGAACTATGTAAGACAGACATGGTGGTACACACCTATAATCCTAGCAGTCAGGAGGCTGAGGCAGGAGGATTGTTGCAAGTTCGAGACCAGCCTGGGCTACAAAGTGAGCTCAAAGCCAGACCAAACTGCATAGCGACACCCTGTCGCAAAAAGACCAAAAAAAAAAAAAAAAATCTAGGCGAAACACAGTGGTGCACACCTGTAATCCCAGCACTCAGGAGGCAAAGGCAGGGAGATTGCCGTGAGTTAAAGGCCACCCTAGGCTACATAGTGAGCCCAAGGGCAGCCTGAACTACATAGTGAGACCCTGTCTCAAAACACCAAAAAAAGAAAAAAACTATCCAATTTTTTTGTTGTTGTTGTTACCGGGAGTCTAACTCAGGACTTTGCGCTTGCCAGGCAGACACTTGTGTTGCTGAGCTATATCCCAAGCCTCTAATTTCTTCTTGATTTCTTCAGTGACCCACTGATTATTCAAGAACGTATTGTTGCCAGTAATTCCAGCACTCAGGAGGCTGAGGCAGGAAGGTTGCTGCAAGTTCTAGGCCAGTCTGAACTACATAGTCTCAAAAAAAAAAAGATACTGTTTCATGTCTGTGAGTTTGCATAATTCCTGTGATTTCTTTTGCCATTGCTTTCTAGTTTCATTGCACTGTGATCTAAAAATATGCAGGAGATAATTTTGATTCTTTTGTATTTATTCAAACCAACCTTACAGGCCAATATGTGGTCTGTGTTTATATCTAGATGTTTCCAAACGGCCTCCTGTACTCGTGGGTGGGGCTTTGGGAAGGGGGCTGGACTATGGGGTTTGTGGCTGTCTTGCTGTTGGAGCTGGGTCTGGTTGGAAGAAACCATCACCGGGAGGTGTGAACTACAAGAGTTCATCTCCCTGGCTCCGCCCGTCTCTGCTTCCCCTGAGCGCAGTGAGCACCTCTCCTCAGCTCCTCCCCCATGTGCTCTCTGCCTCGCTGTCCTGCGGGGAGCTGACTGCAGACTGAAACATGAGCCGGGATAAACCTTTCTTCCTGTAAGCTGTGGGAGCCAGGTATTGTGTCTCAGTGGCAGATAAGTGGCCAAGTCTGTTTTGGACACAGTTCTCGGTGCTGCTGAGAAGAATGTGTATTTTGTTGGCTGGAACAGTCTCTGTATTTGTTACTCCATTTGTTTGAAGGTGTGGTTCAATTTCTGTTTCTGGCCAGGCGTGATAGCACATGCCTGTAATCCCAGCACTCAGGAGGCTGGGGTAGGAAGATCGTTGCGAGTTCGAGACCACCCTAGGCTACAAAGTGAGCTCAAGGCCAGCCTGAGCTGCATAGCGAGACTCTGTCTCAAAAAGACAAAAAAAAACACAAACAAACAAACAAAAATTTATATTTCTGCCTTCATATTACTCATTTAAAATTCTTCTCTGAGGTCAGGGAAACGGGAAATGTTGGCCAGGAGGTGCATCCCAGAGAGCTAATGCAGAATAGACCTTACGTCTTCTCAGCAGGTACTCAGTGTGGTAGCTGAGGGCAGTGGTAGTGGTGCACACCTGTGACCCTGGCACTCGGAAGGCTGAGATAGGAGAGTCGCGAGTTTGCGGCCAGCCTAGGCTCTGTGGTGAGAACATGTCTCAAAAAGAGGTAATCACGAGTGATGGGTATGTTAATTAGCTTCATTACAGGACTCTTGACACAGCATGAAATACCATGTTGTACAACTTCAGTAAATACATTTTCATTCATCAGTCATATGTCAATAAAGATTTAAAAAAAACTAAAATGAAGTGTTTTTTTTTTTTGAGACAGCATCTCACTATGAAGTTCAGGCTGGTCTTGAACTCACTATGTAGCCAGTCTGGCCTTGAACTTGCAGCAGTCCTCCTGCCTCAGCCTCCCGAGTGCTGGGATCACAGGTATATGCCGCCACACTTGGCACCATGTATATTTAGAAAAGGTTTTCAAGTTTGTAGAGACAGAAAGTTTTCCTTAGCTTCAGTATGAAACAGTCACATTGCGTTTTGCTCTGATAGAAAACAATTCCCTTTCCCTCTTGTTTAGTGGACGGAGGCGTTGTCCGCGCAGAGAGTGTGATCCTGACCACCGGGACGTTTCTGAGAGGAATGGTTGTGATCGGACTGGAAATGCATCCCGCGGGCCGCCTGGGGGATCAGCCTTCTGTGGGGTTGGCTCAGACTCTGGAGAAGTTGGGGTTTGTGGTGGGAAGGTTGAAGACTGGGACCCCACCCCGAATTGCCAAAGAGTCCATTGATTTCGGCTCTCTGGACAAGCAGACCCCAGATGATCCGCCTGTGCCGTTCAGCTTTCTCAGTGAGGCCGTGTGGATTAAGGTGAGTGATTCATGAAGCCTGGCCTCATAGTCAGTACTGGCTGTTCGCCACAGGAGGTAGCGTAACCATTTCTTTCTGGCAGTTTACTTTATGTCACTGTCACTTAGGGTACCGGGCGTGGTGGCGCACGCCTGTAATCCCAGCACTCGGGAGGCTGAGGCAGGAGGATCGTTGTGAGTTTGAGACCAGCCTGTGCTACAAAGTGAGCTCAAGGCCAGCCTGAACTGCATAGGGAGACCCTGTCTCAAAAACAGACAAAAAAAAAAAACCCAGAAAACTATTACTTAGGGTGCAAAGAAGTGATCTTTAAAAATACTAGCTAATTTGGCTACTTGGGTGTTTTCCTAATTGTTAAGTTTCATCACTTGAATATCTTTACCTTTTTTACTTCTGTTTTTCTGAGATAGGGTCTCACTGTGTAGTACAGGCTGGTTTTGAAGTCATGTAGCCCAGGCTGGCCTCTAACGTGGAGTGATCCTGCCTCAGCCGCCCAGGTGCTGGGATTACAGGTGTGCACCACCACGCCCAGCCTCTTTTTATTTTTCTTTTAATTTTTTATTTTTTGGTAGCAGGAATTAAACTCCTGGCCTCACACTTGCCAGGCAGGTGCTGTGCTGCTGAGCTACATCCCCGGCCCTTTCTCAGTTTTTTGAGACAGGATCTGCCTACGTAGCCCACAGTGGCCTCAAACTCATGATCCTCATGCCTCAGCCTCCCAAGTGCTGGGATTCCAGGCTGCACCACTGCCCTCAGCTTAACTTCACCTATTTTTTTTTTAACTTTACCTATTTTTGAAATAATTTCAGACATACAGAAAAATGGTAAGACTATTAAAACACATTTTTCTAAACAGTTGAATGTTGCCTGTTTTCAATATTTTACCATATTTACCTCCCTGTATATAAAGACAGACATAGATACTAATGTATATATTTAATATATAAGGCAGTGTTTAAGCCAGGTGTAGGATATAGCGAGTTCCAGGCCAGCCTGGACACACAGCAAGACTATTTCACCGCTACCACTCCCAACAAAAAATAACCAGGAAAATAGGAACTCTTTTCCTGGAATGTTTGAGAGTAGGTTGCAGAGCTCTTGAGCCTTTACCTCTAAATACCTGGGTCAGTATCTCAGCTGACACAAAGAAATGTTCTGTACCCACAATACAGTGGCGCAGCTTGGGGAATTTGACACTGACACATTGCGTGTTATCTAATAGAGGATCCACAATCTGATTTTGCTAATTGCTCCCACATTGCCCAGAGTGACTCTTCAGCCAGCGCCCTCGGCCTCTCTCCTCTTCTCTCTTTCTCTCTTGTTCCTTCTCCTCCCCTCCCGCTCCTTTTCCAGGGTTGCTGTGTTGCCCAGGCTGGTCTTGAACTCAGGCTCAAAAGCTCCTTCAGCCTCAGCCCCTCAAGTGGCTGGGACTATAGGTGTCACCATCTTACCCAGCTGGCTTTTTTTCTGTAATCCCTTTTTAACATGGAACAGTCCCTCAGTCTGCCTTGTTGGGCAGAGGTTTTGTTTTTGTTTTTGTTTTTTGAACAGGGTCCAACTATGTAGTTCAGGCAGGCCTTGAACTTACTGTGACCCTCCTGCTTCAGCCTTCAGTGCTGGAACCATAGCCATGTGCCACACACCTGGCTTGCCTTGTTTTTTTGTTTTTTTGTTTTTAAGTTTAAAAAAATTGGAGAAAAAGAAAAGAAATTGCGTAGTCTAGGGAGGCTGAGGCAGGAGGATCGTTGTGAGTTCAAGACCAGCCTGGGCTACAAAGTGAGCTCAAGACCAGCCTGACCTGCACAGCGAGACCCTGTCTCAAAAAAAAAAACAAAAAAACAAAACAAAACAAAACAAAAAAAATAGTATACTACAGCATTTGTTTAGAATTGAGCAGTGGTTATTAGTGGTAAATACCTTGATGAGTGGCTTCTTGTAAGAGGTGCCAGGAGTCAAACTCAGGACCTTGGGCTTACCAGGCAGATGATTGTTTTGTCCTTTTTTGAGACAGAGTCTGGCTTGGTAATTCAGGCTGACCTGAATACCTGGCCTTAAACTCACTATGTATCCCAGGCTGGTTTTGAACTCAAAGTAATCCTCCTGCCTCAGCCTCAGCCCACTCTAGTGCTAGGATTACAGGCATGTACTGCCATGCCTGGGTCCTGTTTTGTTTTATTTTTGAAACAGGGTCTCCCTATGTAGTTCAGCTGACTTTGAACCTGCAGTAATCTTCCTGCCTCAGCCTCCTGAGTGCTGGGATTGGAGGCTGTGCCTGGCTAAGTGTGTATCTTTTTAAACTTTCTATGGTAACTTTTTATTTTTACACAAAATAGCGAAATATTATAGTGAATCTATGTATCAATCACTTAGTTTCAACAAATAATATTTTGAAGCTAAGAGTGGTGGTCCACACCTGTAACCCCTCACTCAGGAGGCTGAGGCAGGATCACTGCAAGTTCCAGACCAGCCTGGGCTACATAGTGAGTTCAAAGCCAGCCTGAACTATATAGGGAGGCCCTTTCTCAAAAATCACAGCACTCCAGGCATGGTGGCACATGCTTGTTATCATGGTTCTTAGAGGCTGAGGCAGGAGAATCACTATGAATTCGAGGCCCTTTGGGCTCTACAGTGAGTTTGAGGCCAGCCAGAACTACATAGAGAGACCTTGTCTCGGGGGAAAAAAAATCCACAAAACAATAACATTTTGTTACTCTTGTTTCATTCCTTCTTGCTGAGTTTTTTGTTATTTTGTTTAAGGCAGGGTCTCAGTATGTAGTGCAGGCTGGCCTTGAACTCAGCGATCTTCCTGCCTCAGCCTCCCAAGTGCTGGGATTACGGGCATGTGCTATATGCCCTGCTCCTTCTTGCTGAGTTTTAAAGCAGGTATTTCCCATATCATGTCATTTCACTTGTACTCTGGTATATGGCACTAATAAAAAAGAGCTTTTAAAAAAAATAGCAACATGGAGCACGCCTGTAATCCCAACACTCGGGAGGCTGAGGCAGGAGGATTGTTGCAGATTCGAGGCCACCCTGGGCTACAAAGTGAGCTCAAGGCCAGTGTGAACTGCACAGTGAGACCCTGTCTCAAAAAGACCAAAAAAAAAAAAAAAGCCACACCATTATCACACCCAACAAAATGCTCCTTTTTTTGGTACCGGGAGTCGAACTCACAACCTTGTGCTTGCCAGGCAGGCGCTGTGCCGCTAAGCTATATCCCCAGCCCTCAACAAAACATTTCTTAACATCAGCTAGTACTCAATGTTCAGTTTTCCATAACTGCCTCATTCATTCATTCTTTCATTCATTCAGTGGTGCTAAAGGTTGAACCAGAAGCCTTCTTCCTGGTAGGCAAGCACTCTACCTCCCAGCACCTTTATTTTGTTTGTTTGTTTGGGTTTTTTTTGGTTTTTTTTTTTAGCACCTTTAATTATATTTTGCAATATGATCCTGCTAATTTGCCCAGGTGAGACTCAAATTAGCAATCTTCCTGCCTCAGCCTCCTAAGTAGCTGGAGTTACAAGCATGTACCACCGTGCCTTGCTCCCAAAAAAATGTTTATATAGTTGTTTTATTTGGACCAGACACCAAATAAGGTCTGTCAGAGGATATGTTTTATAACCATTACTGGTTTTCTTTTTAACATTTATAAATGGAAGAAATTGAGGTATTTGTTCTGTAGAGCTTCCCACGCTTACATTTGTGTAATCATATCCTTCTGGTGCCTTATTCTACTAACCTCTTTCCCTTAAACTAGTGCTTAGATCTAGGCTTCCTTAGATTTAGATTCATCTTTTGGGGTATTTTGGGCAAGAAAACTATAAGAAGCACTAGACATTATAAACATATTGTCATCCAGGCATGGTGGCGCACGCCTGTAATCCCAGCACTTGGGAGGCTGAGGCAGAAAGATCGCCTCAAGTTCAAGGCCAGCCTGAACTACACAGTGAGATGATGTCCCAAAAAAAAAAGTATCGTCTATTAAAGATCATGAGAGGCTGGGGATATAGCTCAGCGGCACAGCGCCTGCCTGGCAAGCGTGAGGTCGTGAGTTCGATTCCCAGTACCGGAAAAAAATCCAAAACGAACAACAATAAAGATCATGTGGAATTGGTTTGAGTACGGGGTAGACTAGTAGAGGAGCAGACAGTGTAGTGTGTGGCCCTGGTCACTGTTTTCCAGCCAGAGGACCAGCTGCCCTGTCACCTGACTCACACCAACCCTAGAGTGGACGCCGTCATCCTCGAGAACCTTCACCTCAACAGTCACGTGAGGGAGACGACGAAAGGGCCCCGGTAAGGACGGAGAGGCCGGTGACCCGCTACTGTGGGCGAGGTCGGCCTCGGCTCATTTTCTCTCCACTGTCTTGCTCCAGATACTGTCCCTCCATTGAGTCAAAGGTTCTGCGCTTTCCCAACCGCGTCCACCAGGTTTGGCTGGAGCCCGAGGGGATGGACTCTGACCTTATCTACCCTCAGGGGTTGTCTGTGACGCTGCCCGCGGAGCTGCAGGAGAAGATGATCTCGTGCATCCGGGGCTTGGAGAAAGCGAGAATGGTGCAGCCGGGTAAGGGCTCGGCCCCTTCCCCCCGGGCAGGGCGGCCCGGCTGCGCAGCACCGAGGGTCTCGGCTGCTCGCGGGCAGCTTGGGGCCTCAGGAGAGGAAGGCTGGGGCCTGTGCATCTGAAATTGTGTCTGTTTTTCAGGGGCATCTGTGGTAATGTTCGCCTCTCTGCCTTAGGGAAATCGTCTCCGTTTTCACTTACTTTATGCTGTTCATGCTTCGGTCAGGCTATGGCGTCCAGTATGATTACCTGGATCCCCGGCAGATTGCGCCTTCGCTCGAGACCCGCCTGGTGCAGAGGCTCTTCTTTGCTGGGCAGATCAACGGCACCACGGGTTATGAGGAAGCCGCAGCTCAGGTCAGAGCGTGCTCAGGCGGCTGCGCGACCGGGGCTGCTCCTCTGCCTTCTGCTGGTAGCTGTGCACGTCTGTAGTGAAGACAGCTCGCGTCCGGGGCGTCTGAAACAGGGAAATAGGACTTTTAGAACGCATGGCTTCTTCTTTGGGGGCGGTGCTGGTGCTGGTGCTGGTGCTGGTGTTGAATCTCGGGCCTTCACTCTAAGCTGCATTGCTACGTTTTTTATGTTTCTGAGAGGGTGCCTCACTGAGTTGCCCAGGGTGGGCTTTAATTTGCAATCCTGCCTCAGCCCCCTAGCGTACTGTACTGGTATTACAAGTGTGTACCACCATACCCAGCTACTTGTAGCTTTATGACCCTTTTAAACTCCTACATCTGATATCTTTTAAAAATTGCTTTCAGTACTGGGGATCAAACAAAAGCGTGCTGCCCCTGAGCTACACTCAGGAGGCTGAGGCAGGAGCATTGTTGCAAGTTTAAGACCAGCCTGGGCTACAAAGTGAGCTCAAGGTCAGCCTGAACTGCATAGCGAGACCCTGTCTCAAAAAAAAAAAAAGAAAATTTAGTTCTTTTAATGTAACTGCTTTATTGAAAATCATTGTTATTATTCCTTGGTTTTTTTTTTTTTTTTTTTTTTTTTCAGTTTTTTTTGGTACCGGCAATCAAACTCAGGACCTTGCGCTTCCCCCGCAAGCGCTTGTGCCGCTGAGCTATATGCCCGGCCCATATTGTTGTTATTCCTTATAAATAAGAAATCGGCCGGGCGTGGTGGCTGGCACCTGCCTATCATCCCAGCACTTGGGAGGCAGAGGCAGGAGGATCACTGGGAGTTCAAGGCCAGCCTGGGCTACATTGTGAACTCAAGGCCAGCCTGTACTACATAGCAAAATCCTGTCTCCAAAAATTAAATAAGTAAATGAATTGTTTTTATTGTAAGTGGGAGAAAGCTAAAGTCTCGAGGTGGGTCTGAGGAAAAAGATGAACCACTTCTCTGGCTTTTGAGACGCGTTAACTGTTCGGGAGGACAGTGATTCGCGGTGCACGAAAGTGGACCCCGTGCCCTGGGCTCGCGTCCTCGAGTCGCACGCCGCCCTGCGCAGACGGTGTTCCCCGGCGGGCGGCACGGCCCTCGCCCAGCTCATCCTGGCCTTGTAAACAGGGTGTGGTCGCCGGAGTCAACGCCAGTCTTCGGGTCCGACGCCGGCCGCCCTTCGTTGTCAGCCGCACGGAAGGCTACGTAGGCGTCCTGATCGATGACCTCACCACGTTGGGCACCAGCGAGCCCTACCGCATGTTCACCAGCCGCGCCGAGTTCCGCCTGTCCCTGCGCCCGGACAACGCCGACTGCCGGCTCACGTTCCGAGGTGACTCCGCTCGCCCTGGGCCTGGCTTCCTCTTCGCTCAGGCCTCTCCCACCACCGCGCGTGCTCTCCTTTGCAGGGTACGAGGAAGCCGGCTGTGTGTCCCAGCAGCGCTATGACAGAGCTGCGTGGATGAAGTCGTCCTTAGAAGAGGGCATTTCTGTGTTGAAATCCATTGAGTTTTCAAGCACCAAGTGGAAAAGGCTAATCCCGCAGGCGTCCATAAGTACCAGTAGAAGTCTCCCTGTCAGGTGTGTATTTTTCATATGCACTCACTCTGCAGAAGAGTTAGATGATCTCAGTGCGGCATCGCCTACAGACTCCCTGCCTACACACGTTAAGTGAGTGGCACTCATTCTCGGCTCTTTTTCAGAAAGCTTTAGGTACAACTCACCTATTTTTTGTGTATTAAAAATATATATGGCTTGGGCCAGGGATGTAGCTCAGCAGCACAACGCCTGCCTGGTAAGTACAGGTCGTGAGTTCAATTCCCAGTACCAAAAATAAATAAAATATGCTCAAAAGTATATATGGCTTGTAATCCTAGCCCTCAGGAGGCTGAGGCAGGAGGATCACGGCAGTTTGGAGGATGGCCAGGGCTGCAAATGGAGTTCATGGCCAGCCTGAACCACATAATGAGACCCTGTCCCCACCAAAAAAAAAATAAATAAATAAATAAATACGCACGCGCACACACACACACACGGATAAGGTACAGCTCAGTGGTAAAACATGCATAGCATGTAAAATACATGTCACACACACACAAAAAAAATACATGTCACACATACATGTGCTTATACATA